TAAAAATTGTTAAAATAAAAGTTGTTTGTAATATAATTCTCTATAATTTTTATCCTATAAATATTTTCTCTAAAATGGACCGTATTCGAGATATTTGAGAAAATATGTAAATTTCGAATTTTGAAGAAAACTCAAAAACGGATACAGGAAAAAACATTAAATTTTAAACTTAAGTTTTATTTCGACCTGAGGTGAACTGATTAGATTTTGGACAGAGTCGGAACATTTGGGGGGGTACTTTATTGGTGGTCATTTTTATATTTTATGGAATATATTCGTTATTTACGTTTGGGGAAGAAAATTCTTTAAATAAAAGTTACTTACAATCTTATTATCTATAATTTTTGTTCTATGTCAAATTTTCCTGAAATGGTCCGTATTCGAGAAATTTGACAAAATGTGCAAAATTTTGATTTTTAAGAAAATTGTTAATCTAAAAGTTGTTTGCGATATCGATCTCTATAATTTTTGTTTTTAAATGACTTTTCTAAAATGGACCGTAATGGAAAAATTGGAGGAAAAGTGCTAAATTAAAATTTTTCAGTATTTTCGTTTTCAATGAATATCTATAGAAAAATGTTTCGAGGTAGATGTATGTGGAAAATATATATATTTAGTTTATTCTCTAAACATTTTTAGAGATGCTGCAATAGGTTAACTAGATAGGAAAGTCATGTGTTGGACACATCAGATTTTTACTTTCCTATCTGTATACAGATATAAGGAAAGTATAGGAATCATGATTTTTTTCGACCTCGAGTTTTCGACGGATTTTTACGTTTTGAGGTCCCCTGAATCCGTTTTGACTATTTTCGCGATGATGTCTGTCTGTCTGTGTCTGTCTGTGTGTGTGTGTGTGTGTGTGTGTGTGTGTGTGTGTGTGTGTGTGTGTGTGTGTGTGTGTGTGTGTGTGTGTGTGTGTGTGTGTGTGTGTGTGTGTGTGTGTGTGTGTGTGTGTGTGTGTGTGTGTGTGTGTGTGTGTGTGTGTGTGTGTGTGTGTGTGTGTGTGTGTGTGTGTGTGTGTGTGTGTGTGTGTGTGTGTGTGTGTGTGTGTGTGTGTGTGTGTGTGTGTGTGTGTGTGTGTGTGTGTGTGTGTGTGTGTGTGTGTGTGTGTGTGTGTGTGTGTGTGTGTGTGTGTGTGTGTGTGTGTGTGTGTGTGTGTGTGTGTGTGTGTGTGTGTGTGTGTGTGTGTGTGTGTGTGTGTGTGTGTGTGTGTGTGTGTGTGTGTGTGTGTGTGTGTGTGTGTGTGTGTGTGTGTGTGTGTGTGTGTGTGTGTGTGTGTGTGTGTGTGTGTGTGTGTGTGTGTGTGTGTGTGTGTGTGTGTGTGTGTGTGTGTGTGTGTGTGTGTGTGTGTGTGTGTGTGTGTGTGTGTGTGTGTGTGTGTGTGTGTGTGTGTGTGTGTGTGTGTGTGTGTGTGTGTGTGTGTGTGTGTGTGTGTGTGTGTGTGTGTGTGTGTGTGTGTGTGTGTGTGTGTGTGTGTGTGTGTGTGTGTGTGTGTGTGTGTGTGTGTGTGTGTGTGTGTGTGTGTGTGTGTGTGTGTGTGTGTGTGTGTGTGTGTGTGTGTGTGTGTGTGTGTGTGTGTGTGTGTGTGTGTGTGTGTGTGTGTGTGTGTGTGTGTGTGTGTGTGTGTGTGTGTGTGTGTGTGTGTGTGTGTGTGTGTGTGTGTGTGTGTGTGTGTGTGTGTGTGTGTGTGTGTGTGTGTGTGTGTGTGTGTGTGTGTGTGTGTGTGTGTGTGTGTGTGTGTGTGTGTGTGTGTGTGTGTGTGTGTGTGTGTGTGTGTGTGTGTGTGTGTGTGTGTGTGTGTGTGTGTGTGTGTGTGTGTGTGTGTGTGTGTGTGTGTGTGTGTGTGTGTGTGTGTGTGTGTGTGTGTGTGTGTGTGTGTGTGTGTGTGTGTGTGTGTGTGTGTGTGTGTGTGTGTGTGTGTGTGTGTGTGTGTGTGTGTGTGTGTGTGTGTGTGTGTGTGTGTGTGTGTGTGTGTGTGTGTGTGTGTGTGTGTGTGTGTGTGTGTGTGTGTGTGTGTGTGTGTGTGTGTGTGTGTGTGTGTGTGTGTGTGTGTGTGTGTGTGTGTGTGTGTGTGTGTGTGTGTGTGTGTGTGTGTGTGTGTGTGTGTGTGTGTGTGTGTGTGTGTGTGTGTGTGTGTGTGTGTGTGTGTGTGTGTGTGTGTGTGTGTGTGTGTGTGTGTGTGTGTGTGTGTGTGTGTGTGTGTGTGTGTGTGTGTGTGTGTGTGTGTGTGTGTGTGTGTGTGTGTGTGTGTGTGTGTGTGTGTCTGTGTGTGTGTGTGTGTGTGTGTGTCTGTGTGTGTGTGTGTGTCTGTGTGTGTGTGTGTGTGTGTCTGTGTGTGTGTGTGTGTCTGTGTGTGTCTGTGTGTGTGTGTGTGTGTGTGTGTGTGTGTGTGTGTGTGTGTGTGTGTGTGTGTGTGTGTGTGTGTGTGTGTCTGTGTGTGTGTGTGTGTGTGTGTGTGTGTGTGTGTGTGTGTGTGTCTGTATAACGCATAACTCATGAACCGATACACAGAAAAACACCAAATTTTAAACTTAAGCTTTGTTTCAGCGTCCAATGAGCTGATTAGATTTTGAGCAGAGTCGGAACATCTGGGGGGGTACTTTATAGGTGTTCATTTTTATATTTTATGGAATATATCTGTTATTTACGTTTGGAGAAGAAAATTCTTCAAATAAAAGTTACTTCTTATATTATTATCTAAAATTTTTGTTCTATACAAAATTTTCCTAAAATGCTCCGTATTCGAGAAATTTGACAAAATGTAAAAAAACATTTTTTTATAAAAATTGTTCAAACAAAAGTTGTTCGTAATATAATTCTCTATAATTTTTGTCCTTCACATAGTTTCTCTAAAATGGACCGTATTCGAGATATTTGAGAAAATGTGTAAATTTCGAAATTTGAAGAAATTTCGGCCTGACGTGAAATGATTAAATTTTGGAAAAAGTCGGAACATCTGGGGGGTACTTTATGGGGGGCCGTTTTTATATTTTATGGAATATATCTGTTATTTATGTTTGGAGAAAAAAATTAATGAAATAAAAGTTATTTCTAATATTATTATCTATAGTTTTTGTTTTGTCAAAATTTCCTGAAATGGTCCGTATTCGAGAAATTTGACAAAATGTGCAAAATTCTGATTTTTATGAAAATTGTTGAAATAAAAGTTGTTTGCGATATCGATCTCTATAATTTTTGTTTATACATTATTTTTCTAAAATGGACCGTAATGGAAAAATTGTAGGAAAAGTGCTAGATTTAGTATTTTCATTTCCAATGAATATCTATAGAAAAATGTTTCGAGGTAGATGTATGTGGAAAATGTATATATTTAGTTTATCCTCTAAACATTTATAGAGATGCTGCAATAGGTTGAACAAAATAACCGGAAAAAGCATGTAATAACTAGATAGGAAAGTCATGTGTTGGACACATCAGATTTTTATAGAAACAGAATCTGAACTAATATTTAAATTTAATTATACTGAAATTTCTCAAGAATTTGCAAAAATTTTGCAAAAGGAAGGAAGAGTAGGAAACAGTTCAAAATATTTGTAATTTTAGAATAATTAATTGAGTACAATAGAAATTTAACATTCTTTTGAGAAGTTCAACTATTTTAATTAAGCATTTTTTTTGTTGATTTATGTATATTTTTTATATACGAGACATCTAAATTTAGCGGTCAATATTACAGAATACCTACCAGGTGGCGTGATTCTGTAAACACAAACAGAAACGAAGCCATAAATTATTTTTTAGAATTCTTTGTACTTACAAAAAAAATCCCACAGAGTTGGAATTATATATTTTAGTTCAAGTGTGAACCCACCTATTGTTAATTTTTATAAAAATAGGTACTTGTATTTATTTATTTATTTATTTCACAACCCAAACAGGCTTTTAGCCTTATTACATGGATATTATTGCTAAGACTGTTACAATAATTAAATTAATATTATTACACGACAAGTAACTAAACTAAAATATAATATAATATGTACGGCGAAGTTGACAAATTCTACACCACATTGACTTATTGAAAATGGTTTAATAATCGGGCATTGAAATTTGTTTTTGATGCTACAATATCTTTGTATATTTAGTAAGTATTTAATTAAAATAAATGTTTTTTTCTTCAAAAATTAAAACCTCCCGCTTTTCATTTCTGAAAATCTGGCAGCCTTCAGTAAAATGTTTGCCTTTAATTTTCTCGAAAACCATTGCTTTAAGCGACTTGCAATAAGAGTACCTTTTTTATGGAAAAAAAGTAGTAGTTTTTAAAAAATACACTCATGTTGTAAAAAAATCAACCCCTAAAAAGTTAATCATAAATGGACCCCTTACCCATGCAAGAACTACCCTTTCTGATTAAATAAGTAATTTTTCGATATTATCATTGGATTCAGCAGTAAATTTTATGTGAGCAGTGATTTTTTTCGAAGTTTTATCGTGTTTTTTAAGCTTACAATTTCAAAAAAAACACTTTCCAAGTTTGCCCTTTTGACTTCCCTAAATCCCTTAATATGCATTTAACGACCCATAGTTATAGGAACTTTTTTTACTAGTTTTAGGAGTACTATCACCTCCCGAATTTTTTTACACTATTGTCAACAGAATTTCATCCCCAGAGATATTTGTACTCTCCAATTTCTTGAAGGAAAAACTTTGACAAATTGTAATTGTTTAAATGTTAATTTAGAAGAATCAGTATTCGAACAAATCCCGTCAAAACGATTTTTTTAATAACAATCATTCAATAAATTAATACCTTATCGATTGGTAATTTTAATAATTACTTCGTTTATTTGTTAAATATTATTTAAATCAATAAATAAAAAAAAATAGAATCTTAGGTTTAATCAAATCAGAAATGGATGATAATAAATCTCTTATTATCTTCAAATTTCATAATTTCTCCTTTTTAACGTTGTATATAAAACTAAAATACTTATATTCTTACCATATAATCAAAAATAATAAACAGAAAAACTTACTTTTCGCTGTAATTCGTATTTAGCAATCCAAAACAAACTTTTAAAAAGAAAAAAGTACAAAAAATCACCACTGAAACTGTTAAATATTTATCGAATCACTTGCACGTTTTTATTTTAACTGAAGAGTAAGTAAATAAAACTAATCGACACCGATGTCCACTGCGGTATATTCATCTACAATGACCCGTCATTACTGCGATATAATATTTATGAATATATATGGATTTTGGTGGGGCTGCTTGAAGAGATTATTAATTATAAGGTACAGGATGATTAAGTGAATTTATTCCAGAGCATCTATGTGGAGAATTTTCGTTATTTAATTAGTGACATAGAATTAGGTGGAAAAATTCAAATAATTTAATAGGAATTTTAAATATTCCAATTTTTTTTTAAATTTCCTAAATTGTTTATTATTATTTATTCAAATTCTTGATTGTTGCGTTTCTTATTTTCCGGTAAAGTTATAATTGAAATATTAACAAACAATATTCCTATAGTTTAAACCAGTGGTCGCCAACATCTCAATGTGTTGAGCTACTTTGTTAATTTTGGAATAAACAGCGAGCTACCCACACGGAAGCCACGTAACGCAACGTAAATGAAATAATCCACAGTTATTTTTATCATTATATGTATTTATTTTACTATTTAACTGGTAATACATAATACATAGGTACTAATAAATAACTAATATTACTAGTACGTACTTGTTCATAGCTACATTCCTACCTACCAAATGAAGGTGTTTAAAAAATAAACACAAACTTTTATCCAGCCACAACGGCATGTCACGTAAGATTTAAAAATAGTTAATAATAACAACAAAAATGTAACGCACTATCATGAACATAAACATTGAAAAATAAAAAAGCACGTTCAATGAGAAGGCTGACACTCAGACTCATCGATAATTTTTTTAATGTTTGCAGTATAATTTGATACAGCCTTTCGAATACAATTATCCAAATGTTCATCTGTAAGTCGATTGCGATATTTGTTCTTAATAAACTTCATATTGGAAAAAAAAGATTCACACAAATAGGTTGAACTGAATAATGCTTTCACTTTCAAGGCAACACGGCATAGAACTGAATATACATATACATAATACGTACATTTTCCAAACGACGGTACGTACCTAGTACGTACTTAAAGTACGTACGTACTCTGTACGTACCTAATGTACGTACTGTGTACGTACTTAATGTACATACTATGTACGTACTATGTTTGTACTTATTCCAATAGAGTACATATTCTAGACGTTCTTTTCATCCTTATTGGTACTTACTTATGATGTAAAATGTACATATTAGTACAATACAAAAAAAAGTAAACAGGTTAATTTGTATTTTTTAATTTTTTACATTAAAAGAATAATTTAAATTGTTTTGCTGTTTTTTTAAAGTTTTTAGACTATCATTAGCTCTTCTTAGCCATCTCACAATTTCCTGTTCTGCAACCTTCTTCTCTTTGCATTTGCTACTTTTTACAGCACCTTCTGCAAAGAAATAATATCAAATTAGAAACTCAACTTGGGTACTTTTTATACTAAGTAATATAATAAAAATAATATAAAAGATGTAAAGTAAGCGATAGTTTCTACGGCTCAAAATTATCATTGTCAATATACTCCTGGATCTAAACCTCTCTAATTTGTATCCACCTCTTTTGGCCTTATGCCTTTGAAATCCAATTTGTTCCTGACACTACTCTATAATATCGGAACTCCTATAATTCTTTTTTTTTAATGCAAGGACTTTATGAAAACTGGCATACAAAAATAAAAAATCAAAACATCTTACCCACTACAACTGCAGCCAATCATAATTTGTTGCCAGCTGATTATAGTTATTAAGGTAGCAGCCATACTCCTTTTGACAAAATCCAAAATTAAATTATTAGGGTCTGTAAAATATCACTTCTATTGTCCTCCTGTTTATTCATTTCCTTAAACTTTTTCGTTTTTATGTAGCATTTTTGTAAATGCGATGGGATCACATATCTATAAATTATATTTATTACACATAATTTTTTAAAATTAAAATGAAACCACTCACCAGAATAAAATGACAAAACTATGTACAGAGTGATTCTTTTATCATGGGAAATGAGTTTTTCTCGTAAATGGCTGCAGCAAATTGGGTTCTGTAAAAAGTATTTTATTTGGGCTGGTTATTGCTTGAAATTGGGATGGATAAGGAAGTTATAAATAAACGACGCTGGGCGTCGCGACGCTTTAAATTTTTTTTTGTCAGAAGCATACCATTTTTATTTCAGAAATTGAAAGATCTATTCAATAAAAACACTTTTTTTAAATACTATTTTTTTCCATCTAAAACCATTCAAAAATTACAGACCAGTTTTTATGTTCCAAATTTCTAGATTGCCATACAAAGAATGCATGGTATTTTAAATTTCACTAAATCAGGTAGGCTTTGAAAAAACATAATTGGCTTATATTGATTGATGTCTGAAACTGTCAGTGTAATTTCAATTATTCCTATTAAAATAGTGAGTAATAAGAAATATGTTTACACATTCAGATAAAGTTGACATGCTTCTTTTATACGGAGAAGCCCAAAAAAATGGTTTAGCTGCAAGAAGATTATATGCGGAAAAATACTCCGAACGCAACCTTCCAGACCACAAAATGTTTGCCAGGTTAGAAACTAGTTTACGTCAAAACCCTAAAGCATTTGAAGGTAGGTTTTGTGTTTTTTAATAAATCCCCATAAATTCAATGAGCCAAATTTGCAGGTAAAAGATCAAGAACAAAAACTGTCACGACGGATGAAAATGTGGCAATTATTTTAAATTATTTTAACAATCACCATGAAGCTTCTATAAGAGAGGCTTCAAGAGACTTAAATTTAAATTATAGTGTGATACAAAGAGTTTTAAAAAGCAACAAATACCATGACTATAAATTTCATAATTTGCAAGAACTTTCGCTTAGAGATTTTGAGAGGAGGAAGGATTTTATTTGTCAGTTTTTGGTGTCTTTGGATGACAATCCTAATTTATTTTCTCATATACTATGGACAGACGAAAGTCATTTTGTTAGTCATGGATTACCAAACAAAAAAAATACCCATTATTGGTCAGACGAAAACCCGCGCAAAATCAGACAACATCAAATACAGGGCCACTTTGGCATAAACGTCTGGTGCGGAATAGTCGGGCGGCACTTAGTAGGGCCATACTTTTATGAAGGCGCCTTGACGGGCCCAAGATACTTAGATTTTCTCCAAAATCACCTTCCTCTTTTGCTGGAACATGTGCCACTGCAAATCAGAAGAAACTTATGGTTTCAACTAGATGGAGCTCCTTGCCACAATGCGGTCATTGTTCAAAATTATTTGAATGAAGTCTACCACGGAAGATAGTTGGGGACACACGGGCCCTTGAAATTTCCGCCTAGATCTCCGGACTTGACACCCTTAGATTTCTTTTTATGGGGAATTTTAAAAAATATAGTGTATAAAACAAAATCTAATAATTTAGATATTTTAAAACAAAAAATTATTGATGCGTGCAATGGAATATCTGGTGATGTTTTAAGAAAAGTTACATCTTTCGAAATAAGAAAGCGGTACAATTTATGTGTGGATAACGATGGCGCATATATCGAGCAATTGTTAAAATAAGATTTGTGAATTAGCAATTAATTTTTACTAAATACAGTTCATGTTATTCTTTAATGTTTTATGTATGTTTTATGGGTTGTTAGTGTAAACTTTGATTATTTCCTAAACAATTACATAAGTGTTATTAAATGTAGGAACATCTTGTAAATTGTTTTCTTTAAATCCTAAATTATATTTGTTGTCAATATCAGCATAAAAGTTAGCCTGCCTGATTTAGTGAAATTTAAAAACCCAGCATTTTTTGTATGGCAATCGACAAATTTAAAACATAAAAACTGGTCTGTAATGCTTGAATGGTTTTAGATGGAAAAAAATGGTATTTGAAAAAAGTGTTTCTATTGAATAGATCTTTCAATTTCTGAAATAAAAATGGTATGCTTCTGACAAAAAAAAAATTGAAGCGTCGCGACGCCCAGCGTCGCTTATTTATAACTTCCTTATCCATCCCAATTTTAAGCATTAGCCGGCCCAAATAAAATACTTTTCACAAAACTCAATTTGCTGCAGCCGTTTACGAGAAAAACTAATTTCCCATGATAAAAGAATCACCCTGTACTTATAACACGCACTAAAAAGTCTAAAAGTCTTAAGAACTGTCTTGTTCAATTATAATAAATTATACGCAATTATTTATTTAAAGAAACACTTAATAGTTCAATTCTTAAACATAAAAAAACTAACAATAACAAACTGTTGAAACCGTTGAAACGTGGTTGCTTGCAACTTGTAACACTTAAAAAAACGAGCGAGTTTAGTTTAGCGTTTATATTAGGTTAAATAAAATGTGTTTCTTCTTTGCATTTTTGCCTTTTTGGCCTACGGTCAACAGAAATTTGGTAAAAACTTAGGTTTTTCAATAAAATAGGTATGCAACCAGGATTACGTACACTTAGGTACGTACTTAGTACGTATTTTCCTGTACGTACAGGTACGTACTATTATGTACGTACTTAAAACGTACATTTTACGTCCTGTACGTACTGTACCAAAACTGTACGTACTTAAGACGTACTGTGCTGTTTGGGTTACAATAGGATAAAAACATTTGGTACTTGAAACTAACGATTTTAAGGCTAAATCATTTTGAAACTCAATTACTTCCATTTCTGTTGCAGCGATGTCTTCGCCAAAGTTCTGCATAACACAAGTTGCAAACTGTTGGATATCAATTTCCATAAAGGGTGAAACAACAAACTGCGCTACTAAAGCCATTTCGTTGAAATCCTTAAAACGATTTTTGAAGTTATTCTTCAGGGTAGAAACTATTTCTACATGATATTTGCTGTCATAGGGTTCTAATGGATTTTGAGATATTTTTTCTGAAAGAATAGGAAAATGCTTGGCATCGTTGTTAATTAGGTTTTGTTCCCAAAACTCCAGCTTTTTGATAAATGCTTTCATATCAGAAATCATTTCCGCTAGTTCTTTGTTTCTCCCCTGAAGCTGCAAATTTAGTTCGTTTAATTTCTCTGTAATGTCCACGAGAAAACCAAAATCTCTAAGCCAGATTGAATTTTCTACTTCCGGAGTCGGTTCATCGCGTTGTTTGAAAAATTGAACTATGTCAGATAGGACATCATTAAAACGTTTCAGCACCCGTCCTCTACTTAAGAGCGATATCCATGCGACACCTAACAGCAAATTCAGGTTTAGAACACTGACAACTTTCAGTGCATCTGAACGCACTTTGGCAACGTTGCTCTAACTATTCCCAGACTTACGCTC